CATGGCTTGGGTCAGGTGCACCTTAGTCTTTAAGCTGACATCTTTACTTTTCAACACTTTAAAAAGGTCTTATGCAGTAGATTTGCCTAATGCAGTACATCATTTAATCTCTTGACTGCAGCTTCCATGAGTGTTGATAGTAGATCCAAGAAGAATGAAGTCCTTGACAACGTCAATCTTTTCTCCATTGATAGGAATGTTGTTTATTGGTCCAGTGGTGAGGATTTTTGTTGTATTTACATTGAGATGTAATCCATACCAAAGATTTACTATGCTGGAAATAACAAATTGAAGAAATGGTGTTGCATTCATTGTCAAAAGAACATATCAAGATCAGTCATGAGGTACAATGTTGTCTGTGGCAGGATAATACCCATGTGCCTACAAGGAAGACCAGTGAATACCACTATTATTCAAATTTACACACCAACCACTAAAACCAGTGAGGATTAAATAGAAGAATTTTACCAACTTCTTCAATCTGAAACTGATCAAACCTGCAATCAAGATGTATTGATCATTACTGGCGATTGGAATTCAAAGGTTGGAAACAAAGAGGAAGGATCAGTAGTTGGAAAATATGGCCTTGGTTATAGAGATGATGCTGGAGATTCTGCAAAATCAATGATTTGTTCACTTCAAATACCTTCTTTAGACAGCATAAGAGAAGACTATACACAAGGACCTCACTAGATAGAATACACAGAAATCAAATTGGCTACATCTGTGGAAAGAGACAGTGGAAAAGCTCCATATTATCAGATTGTGGAACAGATCATCAATTGTTCATATGTAAATTCAGATTGAAGCTGAAGAAAATGGAAACAAACCCACAAGAGCTGAAATATAACTTTGAATATATCCCACCTGAATTTAGAGATCATCTGAAAAGCAGATTTCATATATTAGACATTGAAGACCAAAGATCAGAAGAGTTCTGGGATGATCAAGAACATCACACAGGAAGAAAACAAAATGTCATTAAGAAGACAAGAAAGAAGGAAAATATTAAAATGGATGTCAGAAGAGACTCTGAAATTTGGTCTCCAGCATAGAGATGCTAAAGCAAATGGAAGAAATGAGGAAGTACAAGAGCTGAACAAAAAATTCCAAAGGTCAGGTAGAGAACACAAAGTCAATATTTTAACAAAAGGTGCAAAGATCTGGAGTTAGAAAACCAAAAGGGAAGAACATGCTCATCATCTCTCAAGCTGATGGAACTGAAGAAAAAATTGTAGCCTCGGCTTTCATTTTTGAAGGATTCTCTGAGCAAATTATTGAATGATGCAGAAAGCATCAAAAGAAGATGGAAGGAATACATAGAGTCACTGTACCAAAAGGAAACGGTTGATGATTTACTGTTTCAATAGGTAGTATATGAACAACAGCCAATGACATTGAAGGAAGAAGTCCAAGTTGCTAAAAGGAATTGGCAAAGAACAAGGCACCAGGAATTGATGGAATAAAAATTGAAATCTTTCAAGAAAGTGAGGTAGCACTGGAGGCACTCACTCATCTATGCCAAGAAATATGGAAGACACTATCTGGCTGACTGATTGGAAGAGATCCATATTTGTGCCCATTCCAAAGAGAGGTGACCCAATGGAATGCAGAAATCATCAGACAATATCTTTGATATCCCATGGGAGTAAAGTTTTACTCAAGGTAATACAGAAACATCTGCAAGCATTCATTGACAGAGAACTACCAGAGGTTAAAGCTGAATTCAGGAGAGGATGTGAAACATGGGATACATTTGCTGATGTCATATGGTTCTTGACTAAAAGCAAAGAATACCAGAAAGATGTTTTTATTGACCTTTGCTTTATTGATTATACAAAGGCTTTTGATTGTGTGGATTATGACAAGCTATGGACAGCACTGCAGAGACTGAGTATTCTAAAACACCTAATTGTGCTCATAGATCAAGTGCATAGACCAAGAGGTAGTTATTTGAACAGAACATGGCAACACTGAATGGTTTAAAATTAAGAAAGGTGTACAACAAGGTTGTATTCTTTCATCATACTTATTCAACCAGTATACTGGGCAAATAATCTGAGAAGTTGGGTTATATGAAGAAAAACATGGTATCAGGATTGGAGGAAGACTCATTAACAACATGCAATATGCAGACAATATAACCTTGCTTGTGAGTGAAGAGTACTTAAAATACTTACTAATAAAGATCAAAGACCACATCCTCACCACTGGACCAGGAAAATTAGAGGTTGTCAAAAATGAAATGGAACGCATAAAGGTTGGTATCTTAAGCATTGTTGTTGTTTCTAGATGCCATTAAGTCTGGTCTGAACCATAGTAACCCTATCTACAACAGAATTAAACACCATGGAGTCTTACCTCATCCTCACAATTGTTGTTATGCTTCTAAGGAACATTCTGGTTGTACTTTTTCCAATGCAGATTTGTGTGTTCTTTGCCAGTCCATGCTACTTTTAATAATCTCCAATATAATACATAACTCAAATGCATC